TCCACTCCCTCTTGGAATCCCCCCCCCCCCCCCCCCAATTTTACACAGATCTTGATGATCCTTCAAAGAGTCAAGACAATGATGAAGGTGGTCGGCCCATAGCTCCACTAGAAGCATTCGGCAAGATTGCAGATGTAGTACAGGAAGCCATCAGAAAAATGGAAGCTGTAGCGGAGGAAAAGATGCGGTTGGTTAAGAAAGCACGGTTATCTGTCGAAGCATGTGATCAGGAGCTCAAGGATAAAGCTCGGGAAGTGACCATGCTGAAAATGGAGAGGCAGAAGAAGAAGCAACAAATCGATGATATTGAAAGCATCGTAAGGCTTAAGCAGGCGGAAGCTGAAATGTTTGACAAAAAGGCGGCTGAAGCTAGACGAGAAGCTGAGAGACTGCAACAAATTACACTCGCCAAGACAAACAAGTCGGAAGAGGACTACACTAACAGGTATCTGAAACAGCGATTATGCGAGGCTGAGGCAGAGAAGCAGTACTTAATCGAGAAGATGAAGCTTCAGGAAAGTTCACGAGCGTCCCAGAGCAGCGCCGGAGGAAGTGACCCTTCCCAGATTATGTACAGCAAAATCCAAGATTTGATCAAGAATATGTAGAGTTGTTGCTTTCAAAGGATACATATAACTCCATTTGCTCCGAAATTTACTAGGCTTTCTGGATTTGTGAATTGGTTTTAAACTTTTGGTCTTGATAATTTTTCTTTTCAATCTGTGCCTTACCTTTTCTAATCATAATAGGTCTAAAAAGAAGGGCAGCCTTGTGCTCTAAGCTCTCGTTATGCGCGGGATCCGGGGAAAAGCCAGATCACAAGGGTCTATCGTATGGAGCTTTACCCTACATTTTTGTTAGAGGCTGTTTTCACAATTTGAATCGGTGACCTTCTGGTCACATGACAACAATTTTAAAAGGTAGGAATTGCTCTTGGTGTGAACGTAAAAAGACTTTTAACATAGTACGCTATTGTCTGTTTTAAGTCAATCTTGTACGATTTTTTTCAAATGGCCTCACACCATTAATAGTATCACTACATTTTATATGGAGCTTCCTTTTCCCTCCCTTCCATTTACCAAACTTTGTTCTCACACCCAACACTAACCTTCTACAATTATTCAAACTTCATCAATATATAGAGTCGCATTAAAAAAAAAAGTAAATAGGATCTTTCTAGTCGATTTTTATGATCTATTTAAACTTCAAAGTCTTAATGAGCAGAGTTATTTAATATATGTTCAGTAGAAGATAAATGTATCCAATAAAATTTTCAAAAGCACTATCCAAAATATATCCCATAGAATACTAAAAAGCACTAAGTGATCTAGCCGTCAATGAAGTCCATAAAAAATCTATCGATTTTTCCTGATATGTTTACGTAATCATAGTAAATTAATATGCATAATCGTCGGATTAAATCCCCTACCCCACCCCACCCAAGCAATACATGTTCAAAAGGACCATATTATCTTACTAAGGACCCATCTGAAATGTGGGCACAAAAGAAGAAGATTGAGATATAACATATATATGGTCAATGACCAACCATGCAACATTAATAATGGAGGCAACAACTCAAATTTATTGTTGTTAACTCATTAAAGGGAAGTAGTTATAGAATTATAATCGATCGGGATCATTCAATACAACGGTATGAACACGATACCAAGGCAAACTCATGGAAATACCCTTTAAATCAAAGAGACACTACATAACTTTATTGCATTGAAAAAGACTATAATATGACTATCCTATGGACCACTCTTTTTTAGTCGATTATTTCCAAACAAGAGTTTTTTATATTGTTGGTAATAATGAAACAATTATGTTCGTAAAAATAATAGAGAAGCAAATTTATTCTATACTCAATAAGTACCAATACACAATGAGGGAGTTGATCCCATTTTCTATTTGTGAAATTATTGTTAACAAAAGGACAATAAACAAAAAATTTATGTTACAACATTATGGACTATTGGACTTGTATACTCCTCCAAATATCTACGCACTTCGTTTTGATTTATTTGATATATTTTGACTTGACAGAGAGTATAAGTAAAGAAGATTTTTGGATCTTGTAGTTTTAAATGAAAATTATGTCAAATGTATTAAAATGTCTTCTAAATCTATGGTCTTGAACATGTTATGTGGAAAGTTAAAATTAAAGAGTTACGGAAAAAATCTATTTTTTTTTAATGAACAAAAAAGAAGAATAAGCTAAACAGATTGAAACGGGAGAAAACATATGGGAGTTTCCTTATATCATATGCTCCTTTCGTCCATTTTAACTATCATTTTAGCTTCTTTTTTTTTAATGTTTATTAAGAAAAATAATAAATAAAAATATATAGTTACTAAATTATCCCGATTTAAATATAGGTAGAATATTTTTTTTCCTCTTAAATATTGTGCATACTTTTTAATATATAGGGTATAATTAAAAGTAATTGTCAATTTTAATCTTAAATTTCTAAAATAATAATTATTTTGAGATAAAATGATCAATCAATTTGACACAGTACATTTCCCACTTCAAATCTTCAATTATTGACTATCCATGCAATAATAAAAGATGATAAATTAGGGTGGCATGTTGCCCTATCCTTTTTCCATTTTTTTCGAACCTAATGCCCCTATAATAATATAGTAAAACTAAGATGACATCAAATAATTAGGCGAAATTGACCTATGGTGTTTGGTCGAAGTTTTAATAGGTAAGCACTCTCTTTTCATGTAATCAATAAGTTAGATTTCCCTTTTTCATACGATTTTAACCCAAACTTCTATTATCAACTTTAACATTAAATCACTATTTATGTATATATATTCAATCTAGATTCTAGCATCTATTTCTTAAATGATATCGAATAATAGTGCTTGCGTTGCTAATCATAAAATGTGACATGTAGAGCACATGTAAGGCACATTACTTTATTTGTTAGTATAAAATTTATAACCAAAAACTAAGACAAAAAATAACAAAATGGACCACCATCTAATGTCACTTTTGCTATTTTTCAGAAAGAAATGGGTCATCATAAATTCTTTCACACCTACCATACACTAAATGTAGGATTTAAAGGCACCACCTTACCCTCATCAATCTCTGCATCTTGGGATAAGAAAAAATAGGTAAGAATTTATTTGAGTTTGGTATTTGGATCAAATTATCCTATTTTTAGTTTATAATTAAATAATTTCTCCATTCATTTTTATTGGTACACTATTTTAAAAATAAATATATATTTTTACTTATTATTTTTAATATATCAAGAAAAGATATAAGAGAATTCATGTTAGTTGCTTATTCTTCAAATGATTTTTCCAAAGACTTAATACTCCATTTAATTCATATTAATTGACTTGTTGAGATTTTTTTATTTATTCAAAATAAGTGAATTATTCAAAGTTAAAAAAAATTGTTGGAACTTTTTTTTTCATTTCATATTTATCCTTTATTTAGTGAGGTTCTTAACTAATTTACGTTTTCTAGGAGACTAGTTTGAAAATAATCAAAAGAATAATAGTGAAAAATAGTCTTTAATTTATCTACTTAAATATTTTTCTAAGGGGTACCCGATAATTCACTTAATATGGACTAGAGGGAATACTAAAATCAATTACTAATAGGGATAATGTGGTAAAATAATCATGTCAATTGTTGTTTTCTTAATTGGTGTGCCAAATCTAAATGTGATAAGTAAAAGTGAATAAAACAATAAAAATAAAAATTGAAATATATATTAATTAATTATAATTTGTCTAGTTTCCTATTATTATTATTATTATTATTTTCACTATTTTCTATACGATTCTCTTATTACTGTATTTTTAATTGATTGTTGTTATGCTTTATTTAAATAAAAAATTTATGAGAGACAACCTCTTTACTTTTATTAGGTATCAATAAAACTACATTTTTTTTCAAACTCTACTAATAAGATTCAATATATTATCCTTTCAATAATATTGGCTTCTTCCCATTATTTGTGTCCTAAATTTCAAGTTTTGTTTCCCAAGCTAGCTACTTCTTATTAAATGCTAACCCCACATTTCAGATTGTTCTCATTCAATGCAAAATTTATTGTTTTTTGTCCTCCTTAATTGCATGGTCAAGTGACGTGCTTTTCTCTCTCGTTTATACGTAGAGGCGTATTCAAAATCTCGAAAAGATGAATGTATCGTTATAAAAAAATAAATTTAAATTGTTATAAAAAATGAATTTAAGATTAAAATTTGGTTGATTTAATTTTTAATTTCATCACTGAACTTAAAATTTTCTTTTAATTTTTCAATGGAACAAACTTAAAAATTTGAAAGATTAAAGCCAAAATAAATAATAATAATAATAACTAAAACGCCAAAAATATTATCAATAACTACTTGAAGATGTATAATCCAATTTTAGAAGAAAAAAAGAAGAAGAAGATAGATATAAGATTTAAGTATCTAACCTCATTTAAAGAGGTGTACCCAATCATCATGGCATTATATGATACTTCAAGCATGAATTCACGCATGAATATTTAAATATTTTTAAAATATAACCTAAGAAATGGAGCATGGGTTCACATCAATCCGGAGAACTCTCCTTAGACACTCCTCTGTTTGTAGTTTGTACATATATGACCAAAACACACACTTGTGTGAGAAATATTTATTCATTTTCGATATTTACTAATTTACAGTGTGATTTGAAATTAAGTTGATTTGAAATTAAAATTTTGCTTGGTTATATCATTTGATTTCTTATTTTATTTTTTCCAATACAACAACGATAATATATCAACTGAAATATCATTAGTAGGGTATGAACAAAACAAAATCTACATAAATCTTATTTTTATTTTGTGAAGATAGAGAGACTGTTTATGAATAATCCTTGAATCAAATATAGCAAATTAAATTATTAATGAAAAAAGTAACAATGAAGGAAACATGAAAACTAAAAGAAAAAAAATATAGAACATTCGGAAAAGGAACAATAACACAACAACAACATAGTACGATCACAAACACAATAAACAATTGATGATATAACAAAAGCAAGAAACTACATACTAACTACATATAACAAAATCGGCGCTCTAGATTATCACTAAGCCTAATCATGTTGAAAAGTAAGACAACGCTCCAGTGCCTACTAACCTTCTATCCTAATTCATGATCTCTATGCTCTCATATCTAAGGTTATGTCCTTGATAAGCTGAAGTTGCACCAATATGTCTAGCCTAATTACCTATCCTCGATCAATACTGAAGTTGCACCAATATGTCTAGTCTAATTACCTATCCTCGATTCAATACTTTCTTCAACTTATCTCTAACTCATCTCGTACCCATTATATCCAACCTTTCATATTTCTTTATTAGGGCATTTGCACATTTTATCTTCACATGTCTAAATCATCTTAGTCTTGTTTCGCGTATCTTATCCATTATGAAAGTCACTTCCAACTTATCCCGGATATCCTCATTTTTAATATTATTATCGTGCTCCTAATTTGCCCACAAATTTATTTCAACATTCTCAGTTTCATAATTTGTATATTTTAGACATGAGAAGTTCTTGACTAACCAATACTCTTTCCTATAGAAAAAAATCGATCTAACCACTATTTTATGAAATTTATTTTTAAATTTTAATAATACCTTTTTATCACATAAAGTTATAAAGACAAACCTTCATTTCATCCTTATTCTTATCTTATTGCTCC